GAAGAGGATAAAGAGGATGAAGTCATTTCATTTTGCCTTTAAGAACTGAAGAAAAATTGCTCACTTACTTGAACAATTAGAGATGTCAGGAGGCCCCCAGTAGGCTAAAGATGTGTTGGCAAGGTCACGGTAACTATGGAACAAAAGATCGTTCAACTATTTGGCATAAATGACATTATAACTGACAAAATTAGTTAATAATAAGTTTTTAAATCTGCCTTGATAGCTAGGTAAATTTCATTTGAAAATAAAACTGCAATATATTAAAATAAAACTCCTACTAAGAATTCTTACTAGAAAAAAACCAGAAGCCATGCATCCTAGAATCAAAATACTAGCGAGAACCGACATCCTAAGCTAGAATATATCAGGTTACTGAGGTTAAAAGCATATTTGGTAACACAGGTCAGATACCTCTTTGAGAACTTTTCAGATAAAATCTGATTGATTACCCATAACTCTGTATAGCAGATTATAATCCATACTTTATAGGTGAGGAAAAAGACTTAGAGAAACCAAAGAATATTCCAGTCTCACAGCCAAGAAGAGGTACAGCTTTGTTTCAAACTAGGGTCAGTGACTCTCTGAAGACCCTTCTTTCCTCCCTAGCATGTACCAAACGCGGCAGAGGGTGCAAGGTCTGGGTACTTTCCATTTCTGAACCCCTCCACCCCTGCGAGAAAATTCTTCGCTGGGGGGTGAGGTAGAGCATGAAGAACTGGGTCCAACTTGCTCTTCACTGAATCCCCTGCCATCGACCCGTCTCTGGGGTTTCTATTAAACACTTAGGGAAAATCTACACCCCGACAGTCTCCATTAGCAGCCTGCCCTCACCTGCATTCTGACTTTATTTCCCTTTATTTTTCTGCCTCCTTCCCCCTCCAAATTGTTTAAAAGTCTTAGAATTTCAGAGGTGCCCGGGTGGCGCAGTGGGTTAAGCGTCCGACTTTGGCTCAGGTCATGATCTCACAGTTCATGGGTTTAAGCCCTGCTTTGGGTTCTGTGCTAACAGTTCAGGGCCTGGAGCCTGCTTCAGAGTCTGTGTTTCCCTCTCTTTTTGCCCCTTCCCCCACTCGCACTCTGTCTCTCTCTCTCTCTCAAAAAAAAAAAAAAAAAAAATACATACATACATAAACATTAAACAAAGAATTTTTTTTAAAGTCTTGGAATTTCAGCTACATGTTCCAAAGCTGTGAGCAGGCGCTTTATTCATCCATATACAAGGTGCTTTGCTCTACAGACCACTCTGGTTTCCAGATCTCCCCATCTTTCTTTGGAAAAGCCTGAATCAGCCTGTTGCTTAGAATAAAGAGGTTTTTTTGGTAACATCATCTTTGCCCTCCTTGAAGTGAATGATTTAGGTATTCACAGACTTTCCTGCCCTTTCCTATCAATATATGACACATGGGAACAACGGCACAGAACAAATGTGGAGGTGGATAATGTGGAGCTTTACTGGCAGGATTCAATAAAAGCATTACCATGTCCTTGAAGCATAAAAGCCTTGCTTCCCTGGACAAGGGAAGTTGTATACAGAGGGTGGGATGAGTGGCCATTGATAGCCTTTGGGATCCTCATCGGCATAACATAAACCTATGTGAAAATAACAACCAACACAGAAAGGTTAATCTGTTCTTTGAAGTGCAGAGGTGCAAGATGAGAGCAAAATGACGACATTGGGAATTAGGTATTTGTTTCACATAATACTGAAATACTAGCTTTTATGTTCAGAATTTGCAAAAATTTAGAAATTGGGAAAAAGAAACACTTAGCACGTTTCAGACACAAAAATTATCCAAATCAAAGTCACACCTGTATGGGAGTAGAATCATGAAACATACATCATTATTCTAATGTAAATTATTAGCAGACAAAATTAGTAAAATAAAGGTTTATTCAAAAAATTAACACTACAAGGGCACCTGTGTGGCTCCATCAGTTGAGTGTCCAACTCTTGATTTTGACTCAGGTCATGATCTCATAGTCCCAGGATCGAGTCCCACATCAGGCTCTGTGCTGAGCAGGGAGTCTACCTGGGATTCTGTCTCTCTCTCCCTCTGCCCCTCTCCCCCACTTGTTCACTCGCACGCTCTCTCTCAAGTTAAAAAATAGGGGTGCCTGGGTGGCTCAGTCGGTTAAGCATCTGACTTTGGCTCAGGTTATGATCTCAGGGCTATGAGTATGAGCCCAGCGTCAGGCTCTGTGCTGACAGCTTAAGCGTGGAGCCTGCTTCAGATTCTGTCTCCTTCTCTCTCTGCCCCTTTCCCACTCATGCTCTGTCTCTCTCTCAAAAACAAATAAACATTATTTTTTTTAATAAATCAATAAACATTTAGGGGCACCTGGGTAGCTCAGTTGGTTGAGAGTCTGACTTCTGCTCAGATCATGATCTCACAGTTTGTGAGTTCGAGCCCCATGTCAGGCTCTATGCTGACAGCTCAGAGCCTGGAACCTGCTTTGGATTCTGTGTCTCCCTCTCTCTGCCCCTTCCCCACTCATGCTCTGTCTCTCAAAAATGAATCAATGGTAAAAAAATAATAAAAAAATATTAAAAAAATTAGTAAACCCTACATACAGTGATGATCCTGAAAAATTCAAAATGTAATATGATATTTTTCCAAAGGGAAAAGGCTATAAAATACTGTAGTCATTGAGTTGCTCGCATATTTTATGGAAAAATCTCCAGCTGTTCGGAAAGCATCTTCTGCCTGGAAGTTTGCTGAGAGGATAGTAAAAAGAGAGTTGTGAACCGGCACCACATGTCTCTCACACATGCCCTCACCCTCAAATCACCCGACCTGTTGTTTGAAAACTCTCTAGGCAAATGTCATGACAT